TGTCTTAGCGCTCCATTACGGATCGTGTAAGCTTTTTGCGGTGGTGTGCAAAGTGGATTACGACTATTTGTGTCTAGACCGTTACAATTCTTTTCTCCCAATTGGACTGCAAAGCAAAAGCTGACTCCACGAACGACGATGGCGACGAAGACGTACACGCGCATGACAGCTTTCCACAAGGGAATGACACGAGGAATTTTGCAGAATTGTGTTCTGTACATGAAAAGTTATAATATTGATTTGCTGTAAAATTGAGGAGATTGTTTGGAGACATTGTTAGGAAATGGTATGCTTAAGTTTCATTATTACTATTTTATCAGCTTTTTTCTCTTTTATTCAATCATATTATTATATCGAGAGTACTTTTTCGATTTCGGATAGTATATACATAGCTAAAAGACAATATATTTTGAGTGATCGTAAAACGCTGCTATTTAGTATCATACTACAAAAGATATATCATAATGTATGATTCACTTAAAATAGCTGTGAAGCCTATTTTTAGAGGCTCCTGGGTAGAGTGTTCAGTTTTGATAACTTCGCGCTTGTTATCGCGGACCAGCTCAATAAAACTTCATCTGGACAAAATTTTTGACGATTAAGAAGCACTTTAAACGTTTTGGTCACCTCAACAGCTATGTCATCAAGAGGCTGAAGGATCTGCAAAGATAAAACACAGGGTGTTAGCTTACCTGTCCTCAAGGTAACTACTCGAGCTTAGACTTTTTAAAGGTTCGGAATTTCGCGGTCTATGGACCTAGATGCTGCAGCGGGGCTGCCGTAACTTTCCGCATAGGGAAGCGTCTTTAGGTCACCGACCTCTCGTTCTTTATAAGAACCAGTACGAGTGCAGCGGGTCGCACTCCGCTGCCTCCGAAAATACTTAAAACATTAACCAAGGTAAAGTGACTCTTCCGATCAAAATTGAAACTGATTTTTATTTTTTTATCCTAATTTTAAAAGTTTAGATCTTTCTAAATATGCTAAATATATAGTAAAATCTGAATATGCATAACTACTGGCTACCCAGCCACAAACCGTATTCTAGTTTGGGTGCAGTCACACCATGCACATCTCGTGTGACACACACCCCTGTTATCAGGGTACGAGTAATCCCGTTACAGATGCGGTAATTACTCGCCTGGTCGCGTCCACCAGTAATGTGGATGCGCTGGTGACATATCAACATTATAACTTTAGCCATGCCTTCATAGCAAATCAAATGACATTTACCATGAGAGTGCTGATGATCGGCGTCAAATTATCTAAAGAGGGGTACAGAGCCAGCCCTTTCTCTGGATTTGGTAAACTGTGATGGTCCTGAATGTGGTCGAGGTTCAACCTTGGCAACAGCGCGTTGCAGTTGATGCAACGAATGTCGTGGGTTTTTGCGTCTCCCATAGCGACAAATAATATGGTTTATAGTTCTTTTTCGTCGGTAAACATGCTAAAAGTAGCAGAAAATAGCAGCTCTTAACGCCGCGATGGCGTCAGACACTTTCCTCGAAGCGGGAATGCTCGACGTTTTCATGCAGAATATCCGAACAGGTGCGGCTGACACCGATACTTCAGTCATAGGTCTATTTGCTGCGGAGCAGCTCTGCGTCAATTGAGGTTTCCTGCGATTTCCAATGGCCCAATTCAATGAGGTTCTGCAAAAACAGATTCCTTTTTTCCGTCTTGAAAGAATAGTGAGACGTGGTTCATGGTGACGAGAGATCTACTGTGTTGTTATCCCCGGATAGGGGAGTGTGTATTGAAGTTGACTTGGTTCTGGAATCAAATATCCCATCAAACGGCAGTGGCCCTTACCGAGGTAGCAATATGCCGTCCCCAAATCGTTTTTTTCGTGCAAATTACGAAGATATTTTGCTGAGAGAAAATAGCTATTGACACTCGGCAGCGATCTGATATGTCAAAAAGGCAACGACAAGTATAAATTGAGAATGCATATATGAAACTAAATGCAGCCTCAATTTGGTCTGGAACGCTGATTTCGAAAGAGGGTGGTCAAACGAAAAGCATGGTCAGCTGCGACAGCTCTTGGCCTAAGTAAGGATTATGATTTATTGTTCAAAAGTGACAATGGTATCCATTCTTTAAAGTGCAGTGGGCAACTCGAGCCGATACTTTGGATGTGACAGTTTATATCACAGAGCCCGATTAGTAACGATCAATTGTCTGGTGACACAGCTTTATAAGGTATGCAGTGCAAATGCACAAACTAATTTCGACGGTATACTCGTCTACAGTCATGAAGAGCAAACAATATTCGATGAGAAATCCCACATAAGATCATTGGATGTTCCTTTACGAAATCTATATTGAAAATTGTGGCCTGAACTCACCTTTTTATAGATCAAGGCCATCGTACAATGGCTAGTGCTTATCCTTTTGAAAAAATAAGCTTGGCTAGCTAATTATGTGTAAAAATCAAGTACACGTTTGCCGCCGTGGAATGCCTTTTTTTCAAGTGATGCGAAATGGCGCTTGAACGCGAAAGAGGAGGCGCCTTTATTAATACTAGGAACGATAACATCGTGTGTGCCCTGATTTTGGATTTTTCAAATCTGGAGCTATTTTTTATGTAGGCTGTAATGCTTTAGTTTTTGCCACAGATTGTGTTTTAGTAAAAACAGAAGCCAATGAACATGACACGTAATTTCTGTTGGACCCTCGTGATCTTTACGCAGCTGAGAAAGTAACCTGGCTTGTGACAATTAACTGCTTAGTATACAGTATCCTTGTGTTTAGTCTCGATTAAACTTGCTTTGCTCCAAGCCATAGAATATCTAAACAGATCATGCGTCATTTCGCAATGGTGTCGTCAGTACATTTCACACAGGAAATGATCAGACGACAATCTTTCTTTGACGAGTATACGGATTGTGATAAGGTTTAAGCCGAGTGGATGGTTGATGCTGCACCGACTGTGACTCTTGGCACAATTTTGCCAGATGATGTGGCATCATGTACGGCCAACGGGTCAGACACAGCATCCGTGTATTTGCTACAAGCTAAGCAGTCCGAGCCATTTGAAAAGTCGGATATCGCTTTGTCAGAGCGTTCGGGCGCACATCTAGCCCTCGAACTATATCTTCATTTGAGGATTTTGATATTGCAGCACTGACTTATTTAACACTCAATTTGTGGTGGTATTGAGGACGTTTAATGCAGAACACATTACAAGACGCGCGAGACCAGTTAAGATGGCCATCGTGGATATTCCTCAGAGAGAGCTTGGTATGGTGGCCGAACAGACATCGTGGTCAGGCACCCAAAAAGCGTGTGTAAACCCGCTTTGACACTTCAGACCCTCGTCACATGAGCCGGCGCTTTGATCATCCTGTCGACTCATTACTATGGGTCTTTATTTGATCCTTTGAAATTGACGCTCGTTTATACGATATAGTTACCCATTGTCGTGATTTATTATTTACAAACCACAAATATGTCCATGGATACGAGCACGTATCTTGCTCCCTTTAAAAATGTCGACTTTGCGGGCCTTATCCTGCTTTAGGGCACCAGTTAAACCAAATGTGATGTTCTAGTCTTCGAAAAAGACGAGAAATATGCCGCCGTATGCTTATCCCTCATGTAGCCACCGCATATGGTCATGACCGTCTTCCCCACGACAATCCGACCGGTAGAGGCGTGTTGTAAACTTGCTAGCGCTTTCCAACTTAAATGGCCTGCGAGAGCATGTCACAGTGCTCACTGACTGTCAAATGTAGCGTCTTGCAAATACGGTCTAATCCTCACAGCCAAAATATATTATTTTTTGAATGCAGACTTCGCTTTTGCCTTCCAGTCAATATGTAGTTAGTGACCCACTACCTTCAGACGCTCTTTTTGAGAAGCAATAAATATACGTTTTTTTTTGGCTGGTGCACAGCAACGCAAGGATTGGGTTATGTACATAAAATCTTATAGATTTGTTTGGTCTATGAAATGGTTTGTG